TATCATGATTCTTAGCTTGTTTGCATTGGGTTACAACATGCTCCTTTAGCTCAGCGAAGTTCATTATTACCCACCTTCTTAAGCCTACTTCTGTCATTTCAGCTATCTCAGCCTCAGCCCAGTTCTGAGCCCTTGGTGGAGAGGTGTTGTGGTCATTTGTAGGAACAGGGGCACTCTGGATTTTTGAGTTTTTAGCATTTTTTTGTTCTTTCTCATCTTTGTGGGCTTATCTACCTTTGATTTTGGAGGTTGCTGACCTTTGGATGGAGTTTTTGTGGTTTTTTTATTGTTGTTTTCTCTTTGTTTTTCTTCTGACAGTCTGGCCTCTGTTCCATAGGGCTGCTGCAGTTTGCTGAGGGTCTGCTCTAGACCTTAGTTCCTCAGTTTTTCTCATACCTGAAGGTATCACTAGTGAAGACTGCAAAACAGAAAAGATGGCAGTCAGCCTATTCCTCTGGAAGCTCCATTCCAGGGCAGTACTGACCTTTTGCCAGCCTGAACATGCCTGTAGGAGGTGACTGGAGACCCGTTTGGTGGTGTCTCCCAGTCAGGAGGAATAAGATCAGGCACCCACTTAAAGAACCATTCTGGCTGCATTTTGGTAGAGCAGCTATGCTGTGTTGGTTATCCCTTCAGCCCCTGATCAGTTTGGGCTTTTCATGGCCCACAGGCTGGACCAACTGATAAGCCCAAACAGCCAAGTTGGCAGCCTGCCTTGCCCCTCAGGCATTCCATCCCAGGGAACGGAGCGGGGAGGGGTGGCCAGAGGTTCCAACTGGGAGGACACACCTCAAAAGGAGGAGTGGATCAGAGTCCCACTTAAAGAAGCAGTCTGGTTGTGCCTCAACAGAACAGCTGTGTCATAGTGGGGAACCACGTCTGCCCCTGTGCGCTTGGACTCTCCAAAGCTAGCAGGCTGGAACAGCTGAGTGACCAACCAACCCAGGTGGTGGCCCTCCTCTCTCCCAGGCACTCCATCCCAGGGAGAGATCAGAGCTCTGCCCCTAATAGGTACCAGCAGGCATGGCTGAAAGGTCCTGCTGGGAGGTTCTGCCCAGTGAGAAGGAATGGATCAGTGCCCTGCCTAAAGAAGCAGTTTGGCTACAATCTGGGAAAGCCACTATGTTGCACTACTCAGGGGACCCTTCCTCATCTGTATTGTTTGGACTGTAAGCCCACATGGTGGAACTGCTGAGTTGTCCAACCAATCCAGGTGGTGACCCTCCTTCTCCACCCCTGCCCATCCCCTGCCACACTATGTCTCAGAGAGAGATCAGAGCTCTATCCCTAGTACGTGCCTGCAGGTGTGGCTGGAGGATCCGGCTGGGAGGTCCTGCCCAGTGTGGAAGAATGGATTTGGTCCCACTTAAAGAAGCAGTCTGGTGACAATCTGGCCAAGCCACTGTGCTGCATTGCTGGGGGACCCCTTTCTCCTCCAGACCATTTGGATTCTACAAAGCCCACAGGCTAGAACAGCTAAGTCGACCAAATAGTAGAGGTAGAACCTGTCCGTCTCCCTGTTGCCTGAGGCTGACTAGGATTCCAAGTCATTATTATTTTGTGAGGTGAGGTGGAAATGGGGCCTGCAGAACATGCCTCTCGCTCCCTGGACTCTACCCGCTTCCTAGGCGTATATGCAGACCTCCTGTCTTGCCTGAGTTGCATACACATTCATTGGGGATCTCCGGACCAGAGTATGCAAAGCTCTTGGGTCTCTGTGCATGCCGGAGTAGCTGCTCCCCTAGACTCCATACAGCTCTGTATCGGACCCAAGGCTCTGGTGGCATGGGCTCACAGGGAGATCTGCTGACCCATGGGTTGCAAAGATCCCTGAGAGAAGCATGGTTTCCCAGGGTCACACAGTCACTCACTGCTTCCTAGGGCTGGAGGTGGGTTTCTCTTGGCTCCATGTCACTCCCAGGTGGGCCATTGCCCCACCCTGCTTTTGTTCTCTGTGTGTCGAGTTACTTCTCTAATCAGTCCTAACATGAGAACCTAGATATTTCAGTTGAAGGTGCTATATTCACTCACCCCTTTCATTCCTCTCCTTGAGAGTGGTGGACCACAGCTGCTTCTAATTGGCCATCTTGGCCCCTCTCCCTTTATTTGGCTTTTCTCTTTTTCCCTTGGTCTAGCTAATGGTTTATCTACTTTATCTTTTCAAGAACCAACTTTTTCTTTCATTTATCTTTCATATTTTTTAGTCTCTATTTTTTTTCTGCTTTGATCTATATTATTTTTTCCTTCTATGAATTTTAGGTTTGGTTGGTTCTTGCTTTTCTATTTCCTTGAGGTACATCATTATATTCTTTCTTTCAAATCTACTGTTTTGATGTAGGCATTTATTGCTATAAACTTCTTTCTTAGTATTGCTTTTGCTGTATCTTATAGGTTTTGGTACGTTGCTTTTCCTTTTTATTTGTTTTTGGAAACTTTATTTTCTCCTTAATTTCTTTATTGACCTAGTGGTCTTTCAGGAGCACATTATTTAATTTCCATGTATTGGCACAGTTTCCAAATTTCTCGTGTTATTGATTTCTGGTTTTATTCTATGGTGGTCTGAGAAGATACTTGATATGATTTTGATTTTCTTCCATTTGAGATAGTTTTTTACTTAACATGTTTTTTGTCATGGAAAATGTTCCATGTGCTGATGAGAAGAATGTATATCCTGCAATTGTTGGATGAAATGTTTTGTAAATGTCTGTTAGGTCTGTTTGGTCTATAGTGCAGTTTAAGTCTGATGTTTGTTTTTTAATTCTCTGTTCAGATGATCTGTCTAGTCTCTCCTGGCCTGGAAGGTTTCTGCTGAGAAATCTCCTGTTAGTTGATGTGAATTCCCTTATATGTGACTTGCTGCATTTCTCTTGCTGTTTTTAGAATTCTGATTCTGACTTTAACAGTTTGACTATGATGTGCCTTGCATTGGGAGTTATACCTGATGTAAATGACGAGTTGATGGGTGCAGCACAGCAACATGGCACAAGTATACATATGTAACAAACCTGCACGTTATGCACATGTACCCTACAACTTAAAGTATAATAATAATAAATAAATTAAAAAAAAAAAAAAAAAGAAATAAAAAAAAAAAAAAAAAAAAAGAAAACGACCTTTTCAGTTGAATCTCTTTTGGAGTCTTTGAGCTTTCTGTATTTGGATGTCTATATCTCTTCCAAGACTTGGGACGTTTTCAGTTATTGTTTCATTGAATATGTTTTTTATCCATCTCTTCTCTTCTAGAACTCCCACAAGTCAAAAATTTGTTTGCTTGATGGTGTCACAGAGGCTTTCTTTATTCTTTTTCCTTTTATCTTTTTTTTCCTGCCTAGGTTATTTCAAAAGACTTCTCTTCAAGTTCAGAAATTGTCTTTTGCTTGTCTACTGTTGAAGCTTTCTATTGTATTTTTAATTTCATTCATTGAATTCTTCAGTTCTAGAATTTCTGTTTTGTTCTTTTTAATGATATCTTTGTTGGGTTTCTCATCTAGATTATTAATTGCTTTCCTGAGTTTTAAATCTTGTTTATTTTGTTTTCTTATATATCAGTTTTCTTAAGATCATTTTTAATGCCTTTTCAGGCACTTCATAAATTTAATTTTCTTTGGAGTCTGTTGCTCGAAAATTATTGTGTCCTTTTGGAGGTTTTGTTTGTTTGTTTTCTTTGTTGTTGTTGCTATTGTTGTTGTTTGTCCTTACATTGATATCCACATCTACTATAATTGCCACTTCATTCATTTGTGTGGAGTAGTTCCCATAGGGAAAGAGTTTTTCCTGTAGATGTATCTATAATGTTGGTTGGGTAAGGTGCTTTGGCTTTGGTTCTGCATGGGCAGCACAGTGTAGTCTTCTTTAATTACTTTGGCTGTAATCAGTTTCAGCAGTGTCTTTGAGTTCCTTAGTGGCTCAGGCTTCAGTTGATTGTGGAGGCTGTGGTAAGGCTTTGTTTGGGACAGCAGTGCCAAGTAGACTGGTCCTCAAACCCCCAGATAGTGCATGTGGGCACTGGCATTGGCTTGCCCTGAGTATTTCAGTCTTTGGACCATGGGTGGGCCATGCAGGTATAAAAAGTGGTGGCAGCAGGCCCTGGGTGGGCCAGTCCTCAGGCCCTCATTCAGGGCATGCAGGTCCCAGTGGGCCAAGAAGTTTGCTCCTCAGTCTCCCAGACCAGATAGTCCCTGGGGCCCTGGGAGGAGCACGTAGGTCCTGGCGGTGTCTGCAGTGAGCCAGTGGGTGGGTCCATTAGTTCTCAGGTAGGGCACACTGGTATTGGCAATGTCTATGATGAGCTAGGCAGGTGTCATCTTTTATTTTAATGTTTTGAAAAGTTTTTTTAACATTTTGTACTCCCTACAAAATATACAGATTCTAAATGAAGCAACTCAGTCTCTGTCCCCCTCTTTGCTACATTACTGCTTCTCTGATTTATATTTTTCTAAGTATAAGTTTTTCCACTGGCTGTTTTTAACATGTTCTTTTCAGTGGAAATTCTGATATATGTTGGCTTGCTTTATTCAGCCTGTAGACCTTGACTGAATGCTATATGACAGGTATTGTGCCAGGAGCTGTGGTAGGAAAACTTTCCATGAGAAATTAGATTAGCTTGGCATTAGATGATTATTTAAAGTAATCTTATGACAGTTGTGTGAAAATCTAGATTAAATTCATAAATGAATTACTGTCTCAAGTTAGTATATTGTTTAGGTTTTCACAGTAGTCCAGTGAATGGCCTCACAACACAAAGAAATTCATACATATTTCATTTTAGAAAGCATATATAAAAATATGATTGATTGATAGGTAGATAATCTTATAATAGTCATTCAAAATTTTACTCCTTTTTAGCACTTTCTGCCACTTATATTGCTTATTTCTCATTTCTAATAGAAAAACAAGGAGAAAGTAATAGGATATTACAAGTAGGCAGAAAAATATAGATGCACATAGTTTACATAACTCTTCAGGTCATCTTGTAACAAAGTCTTGATCATTTTTCTTAGACCAGAAGATCAATTCAGAAGTTAATAGAATGGGAAAATAACAGATTATATCACAAGGTAAGAAATTTTAAGCAAATAAGTGCCCTATTCATGTATTTGCAGTATTAAATTGAAAAAATAAATACAAAATGGGAATTTTTTAGGCCACAAAGGAATGGATTAGAGAACTAATACTCAATTTTTAAGATATATTCTTTACAAGGTATTTTTAAGTGCTCTGTTTAGTATCCTGTACTTTTCCTGGATTGTTTTCAGTGATTTATTCAAATGTATAGGTTGTAATTAGTTTAAGTTAATATAAAAATTCTTAACAAGACTATACTTTCTTAGCTTGCTTTGCACTGGAAGTTGACTAAGAGGAAATGTGAAACTAGCAATATGATGGAGTATGTAAGTATGAGGTTGTTTTTAATTATTTTTTGATTCATTCTAAATGTACCATTTTCCTGTGTTTCTCATTTGTCAACTATTCCTTCTTTTTTTCTTCTCAGCCAGAACTTTTGTCCATTGAAATATAGAGGTTTTCTTCTATCTTCTTTAGATTTGTAGCCAACCTAAAATATCTTGAAAGCTAACAATCATTTAGATCTTAGAAAAGTTTCAGTTAGTATGCTAAAATGAAAACATTGTACAACCTTAATCATTTAACATAGGCACAAACCATAGCATGTGGTGGTGGGGAAAGCTGCTGTTGAACAAAATGTTTCTAAATGTAATCTTGTCAAAACTTGCATAAAATAGGAGTTGACATCTGCATTCTGGATTCCTATTAATGGCTTTTTTTTTTTTTTTTTTGGCTGACATTTAACTTTTAGTGAAGAAACTGTAAGGTTCTAATTTTTGTTTTAATTGAAAGCTATACAATCTTAGTCATAAGACATAAATTCACATATAGCCAATGTGATCAATTTTGCATAATTAATATTGAAAAGAATATTAAATTTATCCAAACTTCCAAGATGTAGTATATATTTAATAATAAACTTTCCACGTGTGTTTCATAAGTAAGGATTATTATCATATCTTTCTACACTTTGAATAATTTTGGGGAAAATGTGCATATGACCACAAGTCTTAAATTCATTATAGATAAAACATTCAAAAACTATCCGAGTTTTTTAAAATTATATTTCCAAACCTTTTGTAATTAATATGTTTTACTCAATCCATTTGGGCACAGTATATTTTTCACAACTTGTGAACGATAGTAATCTCCAACTAATATCAGTTGCTTTAATTGAAAAATATATAGATCTAATATAAAGACATTTTTTAATCTGTGTAGCATTTTTTTAAATCTCTACTTTGCTAACAAAAAGATAGGGGTGTGGGGGAAAAGCATAATATAATAGAGTTTGCTTCTCTGAACCTAGACAAATAGTTATTGTAAATCTGATAGTAAAATCTGTTAGCTACAATAAGTAGTTTTGTTTGCCAGCTTAATTTTTAAATTGCCAATCTAATTACAACTTGTGGTTTAAGTTCTTTACATAATTTTTCATGATTTTCACTTACTTTATATGGTGTAGAATTGAAATATTGTGCTATGAAAAACGATTATAGAGTTTCTGGGTTGTTTATAAGTTATATTAAATGAAAATATTTTGTAAATATATTCTTGTTTTTATTTTACAGGTAATACTAATAGAATTCTTACCAAAATATCCCATATTCCGACCTGACTGAGGAGTTTTATCCAGTCACTTCTGTGTTTCCTGTCATTTCCTACCCTTAGTGCCTTGTAGATTTGGAATGAAGATGGTCTTCTTTGCTGTGTTCAACTTATTCTTTATAATGGTAGAATATTCTCACTCTTTTGTGTTGGTTTATGAAGAACATTTGCACATCTTTTTTGTCGTTAAATGAGGCTTGTGTTTTGCACTCTCAATTTTAAATACACACACATGCGTGTGTGCATATACATATATAGATAGTTTCCATTAAAGATGAATCATCAGTGTTGGTGTTTAAAAAACAAAAACTTGTTCTGAGCATGCTGCCTTATAATTTTCATATTCATTGTTTCTAAACTCGCATCATTTTTCTAGGCTACTTGATGCTCTGTAATCCCTTACTGGACAAACGTAAATAAGCTTTTGGTAGCTTTTAGAAATGGTTTTACTCTGCTTTTAAAGGACATGCAATTAATGGCACTGGTTTTGTCCTGCACTTTGCTTTATCACTTATGTTAGTGGATAAAATACTTAAATTCCTAAAGACTTGTAAATATTGCCTCTTTGCATAATGTAAAATGTGGTATGCCATGGTTTACATAATGTAATATTACTGTTATTGTATTGCCAACAATTTTACGTAAATTTTAGTATGAATGAAGTTTGCAAGCATCCCTTTGAATGTAGAGACTGCTAACATGCTGTTTTATGGCAAGGCCATAATGAGTATGTTAAGAATTTCAGGTGTAGGGCAAGGTTGCCCTTTGTAACAAGTGGATTAAAATTGAAATTATTATCTCAGATGTTCTGTATTGCACCTGAAACCATGACCTTTATTTTTCCTTTTCATTTAATAATTTCCATTTTGTTCTCTACTCCTTCCCACAAAAAAATTACTTGACATCTGACACATTTCACAGTCTCACTATCCTGCATTTATTAGCCTTTTCTTCCTTCGAAAATACACACAATTATGACCTTTAAGGAGTATTTTGAGATTTCAGACATCTTCAGAAGGTATCTAGACCCTCTTGAAAGCTGTTAATGCCTTTCTGCAGTTCTGATATTCTAGTTTGAGAAAGAGAGAACTAATTGAGAAGCTGTAGCTAAAGAGTATATAGCAGCTGATTCATAATTGAAAAAAATTATGTTCTGTTTTTGAAGATCTTTTATAAAACATTAATGAGGAAAGACAAGTGTTTAGACAAAATTATTTTAGTTTATAAATTCAGCACATATGTAACATTTATTTGGTACATATGTCTCGTTTTCTTCACAATTAAAATGATTGCTAGCACCACACAACTAGAATTTGAAAATTCAGTATAATGAAAGCTTTATATCACATTAATTCAACTGCAAATGTATGCCTGTTTGTAGGCATTATTTGTAACTCATAGTGCTAAAAATAAAAGTGTCTAGGGCTCAATAATATTTTGTCATCTTTTACTGCTTTTAGTAAACCTTTTAGGCAAGATTCATCTCAGTGAAGTGAACAATCATTTATTCATACAAGGTCAAGCCTTTTTAAGCCACTCTTAAAATTTATTCCTAATTTGAAATCCATAGTCCTTGACCAGTTTAAAAAAGAGAGAAAAAGAAGATACTATTTGATATGTGATTATAATTGTGTGCACAAACACTTTTCCACCTTCCTCTGTGCCCCATTACCTCTATGCCACTCAGCCACCCCAAATCTCTAACCTTTAATAATGTGTATGCCTGCAAATATCATGTGTTTGCCTGCTGCAAAATTCAAGGTGTATTTTTATAGACAAGGTAGAGGCCTCTGAAAATGTATACCAAATGTCTTGTTTTATAGCTAAGGTCAGGGAAAAATTGTATCTGAGGTTTATGTTCCAGCTATTGTTATCAAATTTTTGCTTCAAACTGTGATATTTTAATACCAAAATCGATTTTCAGCATAATACAGAATGTCTCATTATCACTGATAGGATAATTGCCTTTAAGTGTTAATCCTTAGAAGTCTTATTTTTTTTTTCTGTAACCTTAGAATTTGATCATATGATAGTCATAGGAACTTTTTCTGCCATGTATAAATCACACTTGGTTTTGCTCAAAGAACATCAGGAAATGGTGAATTGTTTCCATGAAACAATTATTGAGAATGGGAATAGAGTGTGTCTGGAAATAACACAGTATAATTCAAGTTACAGTAGCATTTGTCACAAAAACCATTTGTCAGCATGTGTAAACTTAATTTTAAAGCCTATTCTAATCACTCAAGTTTGTTATTTTATGGTTCGTTATGCTGGTTGACTCATCTTAGTTTCTCCAACTACCCAAAAAAATACCAATTTTTTTCCTCTCTTGTATGACTACTTTTTCAAACTGTTTTTCTTTGCAGGGGGCTGATTAGCAATTGAGTATTTTGTAATGTTTGCGGGGAGTGGTGCTTTGTTTTCAGTGAAATTGGTTGCAGTGAATGCTAAAATGACACAGCACACTGGTGATTAATTCCTCCCCCATGGAGCCTTTTTTCTGTTACGCTTAGGATAGAACATACTTGTAATTTTCCATTAGGTTAGTAACATACTTTTGTGAAAGTTGTTTTTAGACTGAAGAAAGTAATTTTGAATTTCTTTGTTACATAATATTCCTTTATGAAACTTGTGATAGTTTCCAGAGCAAAACAACATGTATTTGCCAAAGTATATAAATCTCACAAGGCTTTGAGGTTAGAAGCTAAGATTGTTTTTTTAAATCAATGTTCTAGTGTTTCTCATTTGGCCCAAGATTCTGGCTTAATAAATTTGACCAACTGCCTATTTTTAAGCTTGTCCTAAAAGCCAATAACATGTTTATTCCTAATAACTAATATGGACAAGTGTTATTTACAGATTTATTAACTCCATCCCAGATATATCTCCACTCTTTGTTCCCACTCCTAACACTTATGCTAATTTAGGAAAGAGACCACTGTAGTAAAATTTTAGAAGAAGATGGAGAAGTGCCTTGTCTTTTTAGAACAAAGATAACACATTACGTGTAAGGAAGCATAAAAATGAATTGGTAGATTATTAGATTGGAAATCATCCTTTTCAACTAGGTTTAAGAATATTTTGCTGGTGTATTATCTTTTACTTATTATGTAAAGCCTCTTTCCTTCCTTTTCCCCAATCATGATATATTAGTGACAAAATGTTATAGAACCGGACTATTACTCACTTAAAAAAACAGTATAATTCTAAACATGTAATTTAACATGTAATTTAATTTAGTTCTGGAAGGACAGTTGTCTTCGATTAAAGCCCCACCAAAACCCATTTAAGTATTTAATGTACATACTATTCATATTATGGCCTGTAAACACTAATATCTGAGCAATTAAACTCATCTACCATTTTGGTGAAATTTGAATAAGTTTAAAAACGTGTAAGCCTTTGAACAAATGTATGAAAGCTTTAAAAGATCATTAGCATTTTTATTTTGTTTACAAATAAGCTTCCATTAAAAAAAAATAAAACCTCACTACTTGAACGTTAAGCTCTCAAACAATATTGTATTAAAATGTACTATATTGACCTAGGAGGATATAGAAATTATGTTCACCTGATTAACTGGAGCAGTTTCACATAGTGGAAATACTTTTTTCCTGATTTGATTATAAGTGCTCAAATTTATTGAAATTAGATTCTCTTATGCCTATAAAAGTATACTTTAAAAATATTTTGCAACAACTGTCAAATTATTTGAGTTCCTTTAAATAGCAAACAGTTGGGAAATGTTCCACAAAAAATGCATAGGTTTTATTAATACCTGTTCATGTAGTATGTGGACTAAAACAATTGATATTTATCTGTATATATAAATGAATGATCTTATCTTGCCCCAAATTTTTCTTACCTGATTCTGAGCCAGCCTTTTTGTTTTGATGGCACCCCGTGAGTATGTTCCATTTTCTGTGGACTTTGTCAAATTCATACAATACGAGGAAATGATCTAATATTGTGGGCACCAGGCAGTTCATCTTAATTGCATGTCTGTCTCTTCTTCTGTAAAATTATGGGGTGGAACCTAGAGCTGTACAAAAAATTAGAGATCCCTTAACATTCTGTGATTCAAAGAATTCTTAGGACATTTTTACTCTATAGAATCTCAGAATGATTACTCTCAGATCTACTGTTCTTGGTGGAAACTCTCACAGTGCCTTGCATGCAGTAAAAGTTTGATTTGCCGACTGGCTGCTGGCTAATGTGTGTTAATTATCACACAGACTCCAAGAACCTGATGCTTGCTAGACCTTAGTTCCCCGGTGATGCTAAGAGTAAATGTAGTTTTCCTAGGAACTGAGCACTGAGGTCTGTGTGCTTTGCCTGTGTAGAATCTGTCTATGCAGTTGGTATTCAGGCAAGAATTATAGCTGTAACAACAATGGAAATATTGGAGGACCCACTTTTGCATTTATGTAAAGATTTCGTATCGTATCCAACATTTACTTTAGTGTCTAATCAAATTCCATACCCTCAAAAAGATCTGTTGGAACAAATTGATAAAATTAGGTGGAAAGGAAAGTGGTATGGGTCTCAAATGCAAGTCACTTCTGGTTTAATTATTGGCTCTGCTGCTTAATTCCTCTGTACCTCACGTCCTCATTGTTGAAGTGGGGACAATAATCTGGACCTACCTCACAGGGGAATTGAGGATATTTTCATATATTAGTGTGCTTTGAAGTTGACTGAAAGATATACTGGATATCATAATTATATAATTTCTAAATAGATTTCTTTAAATCCATGCTGTGTTTTCTTTTTTTTTTTTTTTTTTTTTTTTTTAGAATTACAAATTTGCTGTATTTTATTGAATAGCACATAATCTTGGGGAGTCATGCTGTGTTTTCTTTCTCAGTCAGGTCCTACAGAATGACTGTTGCAGTTGATCTATTGTTTTAATAGTAAATTTTGTTATTAATCCCCTATGTGTTAAAAGTGGGTAATTGTATTATGTTAATACATATTTAGGGAGGAAAAGCAGGTGGATATAAATCAGTGGTTCCCAACTTCAGCACATGATAGCAGTGGAGGGTATCCTTGATCTTTTTGTAATATTTCAAAAAGTATATTAGAAATTATACATTTACCCATAATATTCCTGCTTCACAAGCCAATTAAGACATTGAATTTCCATGCATCTTGCCTATATTCTCTCAATTCTGTGTTATCACTGCTTGCTTATTAACAACTGATCAAAAGCTGTGAATGGCAGTATGTTTTTGATTAATAATAAAATAAGCCTATTATGTGCAACTTATTAAATACTTGGAAACATGGGGAAAAGAATAATGAAGGGATTCTTATGGTAAAAATATTGGGAACCACTTTTGTAAAGGAACTAAGATTATTTGACCCTCTCCACAGATTGCTTACCTAGTCTCTAAATAATGAAATGCGTGTGTTTGCCTGTTTTGGCTATATTAGGCTATATAACTCAAGGTGAAAATTTGCCTTCAGTTTTTTTTTTCTGTTTTAGAATATAACTGGCCTAGTTTATTTAGGTGTGTACATGTTGCTCATATATACACACACATAGAGGATTACAAATGTGGAAAATGTTATAATGTCATATTATAGCATTGGACTAAATATCAATTTCTGACTCTTAAAGTAGTTCTGTATATAAATTCAACATCATGAATCAAGGCAATAATTTCTCAAATGTTCTTTTATTTCTTTGTTTTTATCTCGACTTTTTTTTTTTTTCCATTTTTTCTAGTACGCAAATAGTGTAAAATTGTTTTAATGCCTGGACTTTGAAACAAGTAACAAGTGTTTGAAAGTATATAATCTACAAGCGAATTTGCCCTCCTTGGACTAACCACATACAAATATTAATCTGGCTGCAAGAACAGGATATCCAGGTAACTAGAAAGTGGGCATTGATAAAAATATCTGGTGGAGAAGCCTAGGATTTTGACTTCTTGTCAGAGGATTCCTGTTGGGACAGCTTTACCAGAAAAGAATAATACTGGATATGGTCGTCCAAACTAAGAACTTTCATGCATCTTGCATTGTTACGTAGCCTGTGGAATGAATTCATTTTTTCTCCCTTGAGTCCAAGAATGACTTCCCTGGAAAAACTTAATCTATATACAGCTGTGCCAAAATGAAGGATACCTGCCTCTCTGAAACTTTCACTGCTGCTTCTGTCATTGTTCACTTGTCAGATAAAATTTTATTATCTCAGGATGCAAACTTAAAATAAAGTGTAAATCTATGTTAATGAATTGAATTGTGTTTTTTTGATGCATCTTCCTTTCTTCCCTTCCCTATGTGTCCATCATTATAAGGCAATTAATTGAGGCTTCCTTTTAAAAATTGCATTTTATATCTGGCCTTTTCCCACATATACTAGTGTTATGTTCAATCCTGTAAGTATTTTATGCTATAAAGACATGCCTCAGAGAAGTATGAATTCAGTTCCAGACAACCAAAATAAGTCACACAAATTTTGGGGTTTCCCAGTGCATATAAAATTTGTGTTTACACTATAATGTAGTCTACTAAATATACAGTAACATTATTTCTTTAAAAAAAGTACATACCAGCCGGGCGCGGTGGCTCAAGCCTGTAATCCCAGCACTTTGGGAGGCCAAGACGGGCGGATCACGAGGTCAGGAGATCGAGACCATCCTGGCTAACATGGTGAAACCCCGTCTCTACTAAAAAATACAAAAAACGAGCTGGGCGAGGTGGTGGGTGCCTGTAGTCCCAGCTACTCGGGAGGCTGAGGCAGGAGAATGGCGTAAACTTGGGAGGCGGAGCTTGCAGTGCGCCGAGATCCGGTCACTGCACTCCAGCCTGGGAGACAGAGCGAGACTCCGTCTCAAAAAAAAAAAAAAAAAAAGTACATACCTTAATTTAAAATATTGTATTGCTAAAAAATACTAGTGATCATCTGAGCCTTCCATGAGTCATAATATTTTTGTTGGTGGGGGGGTCTTGCTTCAATGTTGATGGCTGCTGACTGATGGGGCAGGTCATTGCTGAAGGTTAGGGTGGCTTTTGCAATTTCCTAAACTAAGACAGTGAAGTTTGCCATATTGATTGATTCTTCCTTTCACAAAAGATTTCTCTGCAGCATGCAATACTGATTGATAGCATTTTACCCACAGAACTTTCAAAATTGGAGTCAGTCCCCTCAGACCTAGCTACTACTTTCTCAACTAGGTGTATGTAATATTCTAAATCATTTGTTGTCATTTCAACAGTATTCACAGCATTTTCGCCAGGAGTGTATTCCATCTCAAGAAACCACTTCTTTGCTAATCTATAAGATGAGCATCCATTCAAGCCTTATCATGAGATTGCAGCAATTCAGTCACATCTTCAGCTCCACTTCTAATCCTTTTGCTGTTTTTACCACACCCGCAGTTACTTCCTCCACTGAAGTGTTGAATCACTCAAAGTCATCCCTGAGGGGTTGGAATCAACTTCTTCCATACTCCTGTTAACATTGATATTTTGACCTTTCATGAATCACAGATGTTTTTAATGGCACCTATAACAGTGAATCCTTTCCAATAGATTTCCAATTTACTTTGCCCATGATCGATCAGAGGAATCACTATCTGTGGCAGCTATAGCCTTACAAAATGTATTTCTTAAAACTTGAAAGTTGAGTTACTTGTTGATCCATGGGTTGCCAAATCGATATTGTGTTAGCAGTCATGAAAACAACATTAATTTTCTTGTACATCTCCATCGGAGCTTGGGTGACTAAGTGCATCATCAATAAGCAGTAATATTTTAGAAGGAATCTTTTTTATTCTGAACAGTAGGTCTCAACAGTTGGCTTAAAATAGTAAGCCATGCTGTAAACAGACATTTGTTATTCTATTTGTAGGATACAGGCTGAGAAGATTTAGTGTAATTTTTAAAGGTCCTGGGATTTTTGGAATGATAAATGAGCATTGGCTTCATTAGCCCCTAACAAAAGAGTCAGCGTGTCCTTTGACGCTTTGAAGCCAGGCATTGATTCCTCCTCTCTAGCTATGAAAGTCTTAGATGGTGTCTTCTTTCAATATAAGGCTGTTTTGCCTACATTGAAAATATGTTATTTAGTGTAGCCAACTTCATCCATGATCTTAGCTAACTCTTCTGGATAACTTGTTGCTTCACCTTGCACTTTTATAGAGAAAACTTCATTTCCTTTAAGGCCTTTTTCTTTGCATTTACAATTTGCTAACTCGTGAAAGACGCCTGGCTTTCACCTTCTTGTGGCTTTTGACATGCCTTCCTTGCTAAAAATCATTTCAAGCTTTTGATTTAAAGTGGAAAACATGCACCTCTTTTTTTCACTTGAACACTGAGAGGTGATTGTAGGGTTATTAACTGGCCCAATTTCAATATTATTTTGTCTCAGGGAATAGGGAGGGCTAAGGAGGGAGAGAACTGGAGAAACAGCACATCAGTAGGGCAGTCAAAACACAATATTTATTAAGTTTTCTATCTTACATGAGTGCAGTCCATGGTCTCCCAAAACAATTACAATAGTAACATCAGAGGTCATTTATCATAAACCACCATAACAGATTTTAATAATGAAAAAGTTTGAAGTATTTTAAGAATTACCAAAACGTGGCACAGAGACATGATGTGAGCACATGCTGTTCGAAAAAAATGGTGCCAATAGACTTACTCAATGCAGAGTTTCCACAAATCTTCAATTTGTAAAATCCACAATAGCTTCAGAGCACACCAAAATAAAGCACAGTAACATGAGCTGTGCTTGTATATTGTGTTTGGAGACCTGTGTCGTTCCCAGCATTTGGCACTTGGCTAAGTAGGAAGTTATTTCTGAATGACTTTGCATTTACCCTGCATAGCTACCTATAAACTGTAAAATTTAAGTATAAGTATAGTTCCACCTTATGGCGCATAAATTTTTAGTGCAAGGATGTGGAAATGTGAAGCTACTTGGCAAACGTTTTGACTCTTCATCAGATTGTGTAAGAAATTCAAGTGTTAATATCTTCTACTTCAGTTGCTATTCAAGTTGATTTTATGCAATAATAGATTTTTTAAGGTTATGCCTAATTTTTACAAATTCAAAGTACAACATATACAAGACAAACAATATTTCCCAATATATTTGGTAATTTTACTGAATATTTCGAAAAGACTATAAATTTCAAAATGTTAAAGCAGAGATGACAACACACTTAAACCTATATAAAAGTTTCATAATGCTTTGTTTAAAATTTTTTTCAAAACTTTATTATATGGATGGGGCAAAAAAAAAGCATACTTTTATTGATGACTTAGATGTGAAGTAGAATATGCTATGTGGGAAATAGCTTTACATTCAACTTTACTTTGAGGGCAGAAGCCACATGACATTACATGTATTATTAAAATACTTAATGCTTCATAAGATACTTCACTTACATAAATGTAGGAAATTCTCTGGAGGATAGTAGAATGCTCCAGTTATAATTACTAGGAATTTGAGTTAAAATCTTTGGTCACCTAGGTTACCTCTAGCAAAAACTTAGTACACTCAGTGAGCCTAATTTTGTCTGTCATACTCAAGGTAGGAGGTTGAGCTAGATCAAGGTTGTAAACTGAGCTGTATCCAGTCCTCAGACATGTTTTTGACCTACAGAATTTCTTTTGCACATCTTAACAGACTGAAAAGTCTTCATATAGAAATCCAGATTTCTGGCTTTCTTTGAATTTCACATATGGACAGTAAGCTAGAGTTGAGTAACAGCCTGTCCCTTTTAGATGGCAAATTTATTTTCTGTTTTGCCATGGTCACCACTATTCCTTCTTGTCTTTCTGAAATCCAAGTTTTCTTATGATTCAGTTCAAAGGAAAGCAAAATATTTCTTTAACCCATGTTTCTTTCAAAATTGAAAAAATACAGACCATGATAGCTACATATATTCATTACAAAAATTGAGGGAGATGGAAATGGAGAGACTGCTGTGTGTGTATGTGTAAGGGAAGCATTTTAAAAATGACCTGCTTCATTCACTGTTATTTGGTGATTGTGAGTACTTGATTTCATGATCCCTGAGATCCCTTAGAGACAATCTCTAAAGTCTCATCTAATTCTGACATTGTATTTCCATGAAATGATTCTTAGAACATGGGGTATTTGAAATCATTATGCCTTTGAAAGTGTGTGTATGATATGAATGGATGCTGTTTATGAAACTTGCTAACCTTCCAAATAGAATAGTGGCATCACAGACTCCTTTTAGTGAAACATAGCCACAAGCTGGCAAGACCAACACATTATTTTAGAACCATTTTTTTACTTCGTATCTTTTCAACAAAAGTTTGGTCAGCCACCCAAAGCAGCGTTGGCCTTGTTATCTGCCAAGAGTGATACTGCCCAAGGTGATATTAACATGGTTTAAAAAAAAGAAAAAAAAAATCTCAGGTGGGAATCTATAAAACCTGCCTTTTATTTTCTTATGTGGATAAGACTACTGATTGGAATTTTTTTCTTACATTACATTGAACCAATTTGGCATTAATCTAAATGAAAATTTCTTATTTCAAAAATAGGCTTAACTCATTAAGTTTAGACACTGCAACCAGGACTAAATTGGGGTTTTTTTTCCCATAAGACCTGTATTAGGGTCTGATGAATGAGAAATATGGCTATTAACAGAATTTTTTCTTTATTATAAAAATATATTTTCTAATAGAAGCAATTATGAAGAAGAAAATTAATATCTCTCATTAACCAAACCACCTACTACCATTTTAATGTTTTAAAATTGCACTGTATTATTTGTGTATATGCATATAGTACTTTTTACAATTTTTATTTTATGTTTCAGGATATATGTGCAGGACGTGCAGGTTTGTTACATAGGTAAATGTGTACCATGGTGGTTTGCTGCACCTGTCAACCCATCACCTAGGTATTAAACCCTGTATGCATTAGCTATTTATCCTGATGCTCTCCCTCCCTCCCCACCCTGACAGGCCCTGGAGTGTGTTGTTCCCCTCCCTGTGTCCATGCGTTCTCCTTGTTCAACTCCTACTTACGAGTGAGAACAGGTGTTTGGTTTTCTGTTCCTGTGTTCATTTGCTGGATGATGGCTTCCAGCTTCATCCATGTCCCTGCAAAGGACATGATCTCATTCCTTTATATGGCTGCATACTATTCTATGGTGTATATGTACTACATTTTTTTATCCAGCCTATCATTGATGGGCATTTGGGTTGGTTCCATGTCTTTGCTATTGTGAATAGTGCTGTAATA